TTTGGAGAACATTCATTTTCCATCTGTGTGCCACATTTGCCAAACTCAGCTATTGGTCTTCTTGATATACTCCTAAATTTGTAATATTTCTTTGTCTAAAGGGAGACCTGACTTATTAATGGTAATACCTCTATAAAGAGTTGGACAGTCTATGTTCTTTGAAAGATGATATTCTGCAGGGTGAGGGTGATAGCAAGATGGTGGACAGAGAGCCACAATCATCAAAATACTCAGGAAAGTGGACAAAAATAAATGTTGTGTTCATATGTATATAACTATATGTACATTTCTTTCTATTGCAAATAGAAGGCAGTGAAAAAATAGAGACATAATTTTAAAGATACAAAATTTGGGAGTTAACTATTCTACTCTGAATTCATTATAATCACTTATCATTTATTTATTTATTGAAGATAATTTTGGAGAAGTCTGAAGCCATCAGAGTTCTTTGTCTTATAGAAGTGAACTCATTTTTTGCTTGGAAATGCCTTGGCTTTGGTATTTATTTTTAGTCTAAAAACTTAATAGGACATTGTTGAGACTTTTCTGTATTATTTCCCGCTGACTGCCTTCCTGCCCAGCAGCAATGCAGGGTACCCTAACAATATCAGAAATTCAGTTATTTCAGGAAAACAAACTTAAAACCATATGCTTGAATTTTTTATGCTGTATTATTGTCTTCAGATTTACTATTCATTTATATGTCTTCATATTCACCATTCATTTGTATATTCATTCAACAACTATTAAATGCCTACTATGTGTATGGCACTGATCTAAGATTGGGGATAGAGCACTGAGAAAAAGGGACAAAATTTGCTCTTTCGTGAGGCCTACAACTTAGTGGGGAGAGAAAAAAATAAAATAAATAAAAAATAGATGATAGATAGATAGGTATTGATAAGTTCTAGGGAAAAATAAAGCATGAAAAGTGACTACAGAGAGCCAATATTTTCCTGCATTTTTCATTTTTAGAAAGGGTGATCATGGGTAGCCTCACTGAGAAGATTGCATCTCTGAAGGAGATTGCAGGCAAAAGGAGCTTCAAATGTAAAAACTCTGAGACAGGAGCATGCCTGGCATGTTTAAAGAACAACAAGGAGAATAGTGTGGCTGGGGTGGAGTGAGAGGGTGGAATAAAAGGACATAACAGCAGAGGTAAAGATGAACCCAATTGTGTGGAGTTCTGAGGACTGGTGTAGAGATTTTGGGTTTTATTTTTAGTGAGATGAAGAGATACTAGAGAGATTTTACTAGAATGGTAACATAATTTAGTTTACAATGTAATCACATTACTCAGGCTATCCTGTTATTTATAGACTGAAGAGGAGCAAGAACAAAAGTTGGGAAATTAGTTAAGAGACTAACGCAGGAGTCCAACTGAAATATGATGGTGGCTCTGACCACGGTGCTAGTAGTGTAAATGAAAAGATGTGGTCAAATTTGGATATATTTTGAAGGTAGAAGCCACAGATTTGCTCACTAGACATTGTGTGTCAGAGGTAGGTCAAAGTAGCTCTTGGGTTTGGGGCATGAACAACAGAAATATAGTTATTACCTGAGATGAGGAAGATTGATAATGGAGAATGTTGAGGAGGAATTTCAGGAGATTGTTTTTGAACTTAATGAGTTTGTGATGTTTATTTAATATTGATTAAATAGAAATTGCAAGTTAATAATGAGATATCTGAGTCTGGATTTCAGAGATGTTCAGACCTAATTGCAGGAAAATAAGAAGTTTACAGTTTGTTGGAAAACAGTAAGTCAATGGATGTCTCAAAGAAATGTCTGCAACCTTCTAACATGAAATTTCTGTTGATTGAAGGTGGATGCCACTGTCTTATAAGATAGAAGTAAAATGCGCCTTACACATATAGAAACACACACACACATGTGTGTGCACATGCCTGTGTGCACCTGGACCGAGAAAAACAAATGAACGTAACAGAAAAGAGAATGACAGCTAAAAAGCGATGGGTCAGAGGCAAAGAAAAAGGAGAAAAGGAGTGCGGAAAGGGGAGAGCCGTGCATAGAAGAAGGACAAAGAGCCTTGACACATATATAAACTCAACCCTCCACTGGGTCAGGAAGTCCAAACCTCATTTGAGTAGGGTAAAGACTTGAAAGGCGAAGATCTCATGGAAGAATAAGTAAAAAATGGTTATGGCTATGTTGTTTTCTGTCTCATCCCTGGAACATGCAAAGGCTAGGTCAGCAGATAGCTTATACCAGTGCACTAAAGGTCTACTCTCCCTTGTGTGGTCCATATTTCAGTGAATAGTATCACCTGAGCTAGAAAATTGGGCTCTCTACTCATCCTCATAATCATATTTCCAAAAAAATTCCAATTAGTTATGCTTTATAAGTGTTTCTCAAATGTTTTGCTCAGGGCTTTATAACTCATTATCTAAACTATGATAATAATCACTTATAAGGCTCTTATCCTTTCAATAAATTCTACATATTCTTGTCAGAAATAATTCTAAGAAATAAGAATCTAATTATGGAACTTTCTGTATATTTCCTCCCCATTTCATGATTAACCTCAAAATCCTTAGTATGGCTAACAAAGTTCTTTGTTAGTTTGAGTTTTAGTGTTCTCTCCAGCTTAATTTTCCAATACTCATCCACATCCGCAACATTCCCTAGACATATGAAACTACTTCACTCGTTCCTTTATTATATTTATTACCTTTGCATATGGCATCCCTATAGTTTTCATCTTGCCCAATTCCAGAGTAAAGTCTCTGTTCTCATTTTACTTGGTATATTGACAGCATTTGACAACAGTGGTCTTTCTCTCTACTTTTTGAAACAGTTTTCATCAGTTTAGGACTTTCTGCTTCCTTCATGGAAAGCCCTTCCGAAAGGCTTTCAAAACCATCGTATCTAAAAAAGCCATTCTCTCCATGGTTTATATTTAAGCCACACTTATTTGTTTTTAAAATATTAAAAATTTCTATATTAGTTGATAAATACTATAATAATTGTGATAGTGAAAATAAGTGATATAAATTATAAATTCCTTGAATTATGAAATTGCTGCTATTTACAGAGTTTTTCCTTTATTAGCTTATTGTAATTCTATGTATTTAACTTGTATATTGGTATTCATAAATTCAAGGATTTATAGTAAAATATTAAAAATGAATATGCAGATTTAAGAGAGAACAATTGAAGAATAAGTCTTTTTGTATTTCTCTTAAACATAATAAACACAAATACCTGAATCTGCAGAAGCACAAAGAAGAGACAGAATTAATATTAAAGCAGACCTCAGGCAACCTTCTTTCCCAAGCAAAGTCAGAGCATCTCAGAACATCCCTAATGCCATTCAAAGTAAGAACAAAATAAAACTACTTTAAAAAAGAGATTTGAAGTTAATAATAAATATTTTAACACAGTTGTCAATATTTTCTTAGCCTTACAAGGAAAAATATTTTAGCTATTAATACTGACAATTTGACAAACCATAGGAATGGGAGAGCAAATAAATAAATGAAATACAAAAAAGATGTAGATAGTTTCATAGAAATTAGGAAATGATATACTGTTGAAATAAATCATATTGTAATATAGACTCAAGTAAAAAATTAAATGGCCTAATAATTTGAAAACGTGTTTGATGAATGAAGTGAAAAAACAGAGTGAAATCCTTTCAATTTATTAGTTTTAATATTTGGCCAAATGTTGTTTAGCTCTATAGGTTGAAAAAATGAAATTTATTTAAATAATTTAATATGCTATACCAATAAACAATTCACATGCCTAAATTGATTGTAAAAATATTGAGTATATAACAATATCAGATAGTTTTTAAGCATCCAAAAATCTTTGGATGTTTTTGCAACAAGTTCAGCAAAGTCTAAACCTTTATTACTGAACCCCTGGAATCCAGGGTGCTCCTGGGCACAATGTTTGAATCTGCTCATTCTATGTCTACACTCATGCCCATGGTGATCTCATTCTGTCTCCTGGCTTCATTTATCATCTGATAGGTGGATAACTTGCAACTTGTTCCAAGACTCTTCCGCTGAATTCCAGCTTCCTATATCCATCTGTAATAGACATCACCACTTGTATAGCCAACAGATGTCTCATATGACATGTCCCAATGGAGCTCTTGATCCAAACACCACAATCCCTGCCCACACCACCAATACACACACACACACACACACACACACACACACACACAATCCACCCCTCTTCCTCTCTTCTCATTTTCAGTTTATGGTGCCCCTTTCTTGGATTATTTCAATAGTGTCCTAATTAATCTTTTCTCTTTTATCCTCTTACTCCCTCTATTTTCATAACAGCCATATTGAACTTGTCAAAATCCAAGTCAACTTGATTACAACTCTGCTTATTACCAATGGTGTCATCTTACTGAGAATAACCACTAACTAGCCAAATTTACATAAGTGTACTATCAAGCCCTGCAAAGTTTGGCTCCCTTTTCTTCACAGAACTCCTATCCCACTACTCTCACCATGTTCAATAGGTGGCTGCTCAAACATGCCTGAAGCCCTTGCCACCTTGAGATTTTTGCTTCTGAAAGCAGTCTTCTCTACCCACAGTATTTACAATGTAATACCCTCAACTGTCTGTATTCCACTTTCCTGCTTAATTTTTCTTCATAGCATTATCACCATCTCACCTATTATATATTCCTTACTTAGTTTTGCTTACTTTCTGCCTTCCTCACTAGACTGCAAACTTCAGGAGCGTACGGAATTTGGTCCTTTTGTTCACTGCTATTCCCAGTGCCTTGAATAATGCCTGGCACATGTTTGGTGCTCAACATATATTTGCTATATCAGTGAATGAACATTAGTTGCTGTGATAGACTGAATAATGCCCCTTCACAGATGTCCACATCCTAATCCCCAAACCTGTATGTGTGTTACTTTACACAAAAGAAGGATTTGGCAGAGATGATTAAGGTTGGTACTTTAGACCTGCTTCTAGGAGGAAATAGAATGGGAAGATGAGGCCAACTACTGCTGGAACCAATTACCACTCACAGGACTGAGGGCCATTGTTAGAATGATGGTCACAGGAGCAGCAAGCACAGGAAGAAACAGGTGCCTTCTCCCACTACCACCTTCCAGTAGCTCTTGAGCACCCCCTGATGGCAGAAAGCCATCTGGCAGAGGAGACGTGTCATTTGCAGAGTACTTGTACTGGCAACACAAAGAATATAAAAGTGTAGTGTTCGACCTTGAGTCAATAGTTCGATAACCATGCCATGGTTTCATATCATTTTTTAACACTATAAAGAGACTGAAAATGTGAAAGCCTACAATAATTTCTCAGTACCCCTTTAAACAATTATATATCTAAATCTTTAATATGCATTCAACTGGATGTATAGAAAAGGATTCTTTCTGTTTTAAAGTCAAAATGAAATATAATCTCATATATAGAATCATTATATTGTACACATGAAACTGATATAATGTTATATGTCAATTATATCTCAATTAAAAAAAGAAATATAATCTCTTAATTATTTTATTAGAAATCTAGCTAGTCACAGGGAAAAGGGATGAGTGGTTTAAGCTACTTCAACACCTACTAAAGAGGAAGGGTAATTTGAAATAATCCTGAGAAAATGGGCCCAATTATTTAAATACTTGCAAGCTTTAATTGGGCTGTTATCACATTCAGGACTCATATGCTCTTTCCCTTCATTTCTTATTTTTCTTTCCTCTTTAAAAATGCCTAAGCATAACAGGAATATGCTGCCATGTTCTTTTATTATTGGTGCCCTGCCATGGATTTCCTTTAGTGGGCTGGTGCGCCCATCCCTCCAGCTGGCTATACCCCTCTTCATTTAAACTGACATGATGGTAGGCTGCTACTGGCTCACAGCTGCACTCTTCTCTTGAGAATTGTCCTTGGATCATCCTGAGTAAGGGTCCGAGGCTGGATGGTTTTATAATCGTTCTCCCTTCCTCCAACAATTGCTCACCCAAGCAGCGTACAGCCAATGACTGACTGATCCTGAGGGTACCAAGCAGGGCTAACAAAAGGGCGTTTCTCTTGCTTCAACATAAAATTTACTCAACGGTAAAATTCATGTTCCAGAAACACCTGTGTGGATGGGCTCACATTACATTCTAGAAAAAACATATTCTTCCTTAGCTCTTTTCCTTCTGTATCCCACTTTCTTTCTTTCTTATCACTTTTCTCTCAGAGCATCATCTTTGTAAAGCACCTGAAGGAGAATCCTCATCACAAGGCATGAGTCTAGGGAACTTGATCTAAGGTATTAGAGGACCAGAAATGTGGTATAATAGTATTTCCTATAAAAGTCCCTCTATATTTGGAGAAGTGAATGACATCCTGTAAGAAGTTTCTGTTACCCACTTAAGATGATTTGTCTTCTAGTTGGAATCAGAAGTTTAGGATTTGCAATGAAGTAGCTGGAGGAGGTGTCCATGAAAACCTTAGTTATAGTGCTGTCTCCCTCTACAGGACTTATCCTTCTCCTGAGCTTTCTAGTTACATATACCAGGACTCTCGCCCTAAACGAGACATTGTCAAAACCTGGCAAGATCAATTAAAATGTTTTGAACAAGAATCCTAATGATTCAGCCAGTTAAATCACTTATTATTGAGAGAAAAATAAAATCTGCTTATCATAAAATAAATAATAGTACAAAGAAACAAAACCTACCAATACCACCAAAAACAAAAAAATTCTCAAGTTAAAAGAAAAAGAAAGAAAGCACCTCAGTACAAATTAATCCTCCTGAGATGTAAATATTTAGCTAAGCAGAAATAGAATTTAGAAAGGATGCCTTGTCATTTTGTGTGGATGGTAGAGGGCTGATCTCTTCACAGCTGAGTCAAAGGACATTAGGCATCTGAACTCAACTTCAATTGAGGCAGAAAATAAATTTATATTCAGGTTTTCAGATATATGGTTTGTGATGTATTTGAAGTTTCTGGCAACGACCTTCTTTGGTGAAAAGATTCCAAAGAACTGCTGCAGTTATAAACTCCCATACTAATTAGCAGGTAGAACTCACAGTGGAAGAGCTGTGATCTACAAGCAGTGGACAGTTAGAGTCAAAAGCTCATAAATTCACTTCCAGAAATCATCACCACATGCTTTTTAAACAAATTTATATGGAACTAAACATCTTCCATTTTAAATCATTTCAATTGAAACTCATGTTGTTCTGGCTATATTTACATTTCATTCAAGATCTGTAAATACAGTACAAACGGTTGGAAAAAGCCAAAAATAATTCTTAATAATTGTAAATAAAGACATCTGTGGATACCCAAAATAGCCCTCTAGCTATTAAAAAGTAATGGTCTGCCTGATTCTTCAGTGCGGCCGTTTCCTTTTCTCTTCAGATGGAGCAGAGAGCAGAGAAGGGTCTGATTGCTACTGCTTTATATTTTACTCCTAGATAGACAGAAATTGGTGCAACAGCTGGGTATTTAAGAGGTGAATGTCCTTAAATTGTTAGGCTTTATATTCTCTTAGTGCCAAATATCTCAAGCAGAAGGAGGAATCACACACATTGGGCATGAAAATCTGTGGGGCATTTTTTTCAATTGAGTGCATGTCAGTGGGTGAATAAATATAAATAATAGGATAAGATACCCAGGTAAAAGTAACACAAAGCTGTAAAATAATAAACTGTCACTTGTATTAAAATATTGCATAGCATTATGCTCATTACAGAGTGGATACTCAATAAATGTTGATTAGCAACCTATCTTTTAAGAATACACAAGACAGATGAAAGAAAATTGTGAGGAAAGTAATTTCTGTTGAACTGTTTGTTAAGATTTGGGAAAGGTGGTCCTCCCTGTCGTAATAGTGCAGTAATTCATATATGTGCTAAGTCAATTGTTATATATGAAGACCTTGTATTTATAATGTTTTTCATTATTACCAATGAAAAGAGAAAGTGGCATAAATGTGTGTGTATGTGAAGAAAGGAAAAATAGCTTTACCTCAGATGGAAAGATACATCAGTTTTTCATATTTGGCTGCACTGATTTGTAAAGCATTATGTTAAATATATGGAATAATGCATTTTCAGAAGTGTGCAATTGAGTTTCTAAAAAAATTACGTGTATAATTTTAACGAAGCAATTAATTCCACAAAACCCACCTTTTAGGGAGATTCCACAAGGTGATAAGAATGTAATCTGGTGCCAGATTTCCTGAGCTAATAACCTAAGATCTGTATGCAACAGTGTTTTCATCCCTATAATAGAGCTCTTGTGAGAAGGAAGAGTCACGCTCAGCACAGTGATTAGCGCCAATAAGTGTTTTCTATTGTCATTACTACTGCCACTACCATGACCACCATATGCACAGCAGTGAGTATACTGAGCACAAAGCACAAAGCCATGGTGGTATAAATGGAGTGATTCTACAGCCCTGACTCATTTTTACATCCCAACCTCCCGTATTATTTGAATATAGATTTCAAGAGATTTATATATGGACATATTTTCCTTATTGGTGCTTATATGCCACAAAAAATAAAATATCTGTTGAGAGGTTTGGAATAAATATTTTTGAACAATATTAAGCAAAAACACAAATAAATATACATTAGCAAGATCAAATTGTTTACCGAATGCAATATGTACAGATGTTGAGGAAGCAACAGTTAATGTAGTTGCAGGGAACTTCATGGAGTGGGAAAGGTGTGTGCTTAACTTTGAATGAGTAAAGGATCTTTGAAGAATGAGTACTCATCGAATATCAACGAGGATTGGATCAAGGAGGATTGAAGAAAGCTTCTGCATGAGAGGAATGATTTAAAGTCCTAAGGGGATGCTGAGGAGAATTCTGAAGGCTATTTGAGAGATTATTAGCTATACATTGTGAGGCTAGATTATGATGAGTTTTAAGATGTGATCATAAGCATGTTTACCTTGTCCTGACCAAAAAAAGTTAAGAACCTAAGGTTTCTAAATAGGAAATGTCATAAAGAAAAGGCCTTAAACAAAGCTATTACGGGGCTGGACCTGTGGCGCAAGCAGTTAAGTGCACGCACTCCGCTGCGGCGGCCCGGGGTTTGCGGGTTCGGATCCCCGGCGCACACCAATGCACTGCTTGTCAAGCCATGCTGTGGTGGCGTCCCATATAAAGTAGAGGAAGGTGGGCATGGATGTTAGCTCAGGGTCAATCTTCTTCAGCAAAAAAGAGGAAGATTGGCATCGGATGTTAGCTCAGGGCTGATCTTCCTCACAAAAAAAAAAACAGCTATTACACAGAAACATCTAATTTTCATTGCTGAGTGTTGAAAATGGAGAGAAGTGACCAATAAAATTGGTAGTAGAATGATCAATGCATGAGACAAAATCTTGCTTCTTTGGATGTTTTCCAAGGAAATTGTATATGGAAAGGCAGAAAAGTAATACCTAGTAAAGGCTTAGAGTGAATAAATTTTGACATTTAGATTTCGAATCTGCACACTTCATATGTGCATTAGATCTTCACTTTCATCAAGAAACATATGGAGACAAACTGATCTGAGATCTCTAAATGATTGCAGTTATAAAATAGGACAATATACATTGCATATCAAGTTTTGCGGTCTTATGCAGCTGAAACTCTTAGTATTGGTTAATTTCTCAATTTAGCTTTGTTTCGCTTATGTTTATATATTTCTTCTAATATAAAAATAAAGATATTTGCATAAAATAAACAACTGTTTGTTGACATGTGCAATAAATTGGCAATGACTGCAATGCTGATTTCTCCCAGATGTGAGCATGAATCTTTCTCCAAAGAGGCATAGAGGAAAAATAAAATCATTTTTCCATTTATATAGTAACCATGAAACATAACATCTTATTGTACTAAAACAATAAACAGTGTCCAGTCTTTTTTTTATATTCATACTTTCTTCTTCCTTCATCTTCTAGCAACACAGAATATGAGTTATTCTAGCTCAGGAGTAGGGGTGGTTTTTCCTCTTATTCTGATCAGACAATTCATGGTTTGATGAGCCAGGTATTTGAAACATCTAGCTCAAAGGAACCGTCATGTCGTACCACTTCGTACCTCGTTGTCAGATTCACGGTTCACAAAACATAGCAGTGATATGCCTGATAGAAAGATAACTTCTCTCCATTATATTAGACATTTCAGATATCATATTTTGAGAAAGATACCCTCAAATCTTCCATTAACATA